GGTGATCACAGCTGCCATGTGTTCCCGACTTTCACAGAGAAGTTCCCAATACACTTGGTTTCCCTGCAGAGGTGGTGGCTTCTGTCTGTGCCATGCTAGGGCACAGGAAAGGGCTCAGCGTCCGCTCCTTCTGAGTGCGGCTTCCAGAACGGCTGTACCTGGAGGAGGCTGGCAGGGACGTGGAGGACCCCCTCTTCTCCCTGTCCAGGGAGAAACCGTGTCTGGTTTCCAAGCTGGATCATGACCCAGAGTCTTCAGGACGTGTAAGGACAGCAAACCCTATGGAGACCCCACCGGGTCTGGCTCACTGCATCCCCGTTCTCACTAAGGTAACTTCTGTACTGCTGCAGGGGCTGGGTCTGCAGGGGCCTCACGCCCTGAGGGGCTGGTAGGCTCCCCTGAGGCTGGAGGAGTGATGGATCCCAGCAGTCTCCCTGCCCCGTGGTAGCCTGGGAATGTGGGGGTGTCCTGTACTGGCCCTGGGTCAGAGGCGGGACAGCTCCTTTCCAGATGTCCTGGTGGGGAAGAGCTGACACCCTCCCCAGATCCTTCCCTGCCTGCTGAGTTCCGGGACGGACCTGGGCCCCGCCAGCACTTGGCTCAGCCTTGATAACACCGCTGGGTTTGCGTCTGGTGTCCCCTGCCTCACTCTCCAGAGCAGTCTCCCGGCCACTAGTGTGGGGTGTCTGTTTCAGGAGGCACCCAGGGCTGCTGCCCGGCCCCCTGGCGGGACTCTGCGGTCAGGAACCACAGGAGGGGACCTAGACCCAGGGTGGGAGGTGGGAGAAGAATCCGGGAAGACGAACATAAGTTCGCAAGTGCAGGATCCACAAGCTGCCCACAGCTGTAACCAGGGTCCTCACAGTCCGGTGATCATTACAAGTAAAAGTGGTCAATGCCACTCCCAGAGCAGAGGGATCCAGAAGGCAAGGGCTGGCCTGGGTGACACAGCACATCTATGGCTCCAAGCCCAGCTGCTGGCAGGGGACACACTGGGCCTCAGAGGATCTGGTCACATGGTTCACAGGGAGAGTCCCCACAGGGCACGGTCCTGGGCTCCTCCATCCTGGTGCTGGGTCCCTCCTGGCCATCCCCAGGGAAGGCAGGAGCAAAGGCAGGAGCTGGTTCCCCAGAGGGCTCTGCCCAGGGAGAGGTCTGCACATGCAGGGGTTGTGGAGGCTGAGGACAAGGGGACAGGCCTGTACCCAGGCGTGGCGGGACCCATGCTGGAGACCTGTTTGGAAAAGGCCCTGGTGTCACTCTGGGCGCCCAGGCTACTGCTGGAGCCAAGTCCTGTCTGGGGTGGTGACCTGGGCAGCTCCAGTGTGGGCCCAACATCAATGGGACCCCGGATCCTGGGACCTGCAGCAGAGGAGCCCCACAGAGACCCCCATGTACACCCCACACTCAAAGATTCTCACATTCATAGAGATTCCAGAGATTCCCCATAGTGACCCCCACAGACCCCAACAGAGAATCTGACCGAGATCCCCCCATGAAGACACCCCAGAGGGACCTCCCCACAGAAACCCCTGACAGACTCCCACAGAGGCCCTTCAAAACCTACACGGAGACCCCCGCAGAGACCCCCACGGTGACTCTAACAGAGACCTGCACAGAGAAAATAGATTAAGGTCACTTCGCCACCCCCTCAAATCCCAAGCACTGCACTTGGTGAAAACGAGCGGCATCTACCTCATTCCAGCAGCGCCTTCTCCTGGCCGCCCTCTGCCCTCTTCTAGAGAAGATTCCGAGAGAAACCGAACAACAGAACAGCCTCCTCTGTCAGACGGCGTCCGACTCACAGCGACCCCCCGACCCGCCGGCAGACCCTTCCCCAGATCACCCGGCCCAACCCCCGTGCTGGTATAAAGGTGCAAGCGTTCCCGACAGAGCGGTGGGAGTTTCTCTGACGCTGTGCCTCCGAGGCCGCCCTCAGCCCCTCAGGCCGGGCTCCCCTCACTGCCAAGGGCATCCGCCTGCTTGTCTGGGTCGGTCTTGCTCACAGGGTCCTCCTGCGGGCCTTGTGCTGGAGCACATGGAACAGGAAGGATCTCGGGGTGGACGCAGCTTCCTCCCAAACCCTTCGACTCCCTGCGAGGCCAGGCTGCCTGTGCTGGGTTCCCCGCCCTGCCCCTTTCCCCTGTGACAGCCTCTGCAGGCCTGGACATGTTTCTCCCAGACCCTGAAAGCTTCTGGTGGGCCCGGTGAGGAGGGGGCGCGCCTGACCACACTCCCGCTACTGTCCTCTGTTATAAATTATTTCATAACATCTTAGTGAACGGGCACAGGGATCCATGCTTCCTTATCTGCCTCATACATAAGTTGCATCACTAAAATCATATTTTCATAAAGGGTCTTAACTCTTTCCAGTAGCTAATAGAATGTGTCAAGGAAAATCTGTAAAACTAAAATGGCATTGAAAGTTCAAATTTAGTGGTATAAAGAAATTTCCAGATTCAAATTATTCCATCTAAGTTACTTATATTATAGGTCAAATATGAATATTCTAGTAAGTTTTTTAATTCTTCAAAGTAAACTTCTGACGTTTAGAGAATACAAACTAAAAAGCAATTTTGCTTTAAAACATTCTTTCTAATGTGCCACAAATTCATTTTAAAAAACTATTACCAAAGAGGATATTTTTTAAGTAATTTAAATATACCTTGCAACAGACACACATACTGTAAATCCACTCTTCTGCAAATGAGGAGCAGCTATATGTTTACCTTAACATCCAAAATGCTGAATCTATACAACGGGTTGCTTATTTACAACCACATGTAAAATAGGGTATTACAGTAATTCAGCATGCGTATTTGTTCTTTTGGAAAAGTTTTTTAATTATTGAAAAGAATTGAAAATCTTCCAAAACATCATCTGTTTGAAAGATGTTAGAAAAGAGAGTGTAGAAAAATAGGACTGCATTCTTATTGCCTAACGGTTTAACCTCAGTTGTAAATACACACATATCACACATATCTATGTTCTATTGTTTGCTGGAATACACTGTTTTTATTATTCTACAGAGCAGGCACATCACAATTAATCTCTAGACTTGAAGCCTGAGTAACTATTCTCTCTCCAGCAGTTTCTGCCAGTTCTTGGGTTTGGAGAAATGAGTTGGACATATTTGCTTGGGTGCATTTCTGAGTTCTGTATTCTGTTCTGTCGACCTATGTGTCCATCTCTCCACCAATATCATGTGCCTTTCCATATAAGCTTAAAATAAGTTTATCTATATGCATAAAAAATCGAACTGGAGTTTTGATATGAATGTCATTAAGTCTACCCATCCATCTGAAGACAGTTGACATCTTTGCTATCTTGAGTCTTCCAAACCATTAATAAGGTATGTGTGAATTTATTTAGTTCTTCTCTCAATTCTTTCATGCACATTTTGCAATTTTTGCCATCTTGATTCTGCATGTCTTGTCAGATTTCTGCCTAAGTATTTTCTTTAGAGCAATTGTAAAGGTATTTTCAGTTTCCATGCATTCGTTGTTAGTTTATAGAAGTATGATGAGTTTTGTAAGATGGATCATTTATCCTGTGAACTTGCTAAATAACTTATTATTATTTCTACAAGACTTTTTTAGTTTCTCTGAGACATTACAAAGACAATCGTGTAATCTGCAATAGAGGCAGCTTTCCTTCTTTCTTTTTTTTTTTTCAGTCAGTATGCCTTACTTGTTTGTTGCCCAATTGTGCTGACTAGAACTTTCGGTGCTCTGTCAAATAGCAGTGGTGAGAGCAGACGTCTCTGCCTTGTTTCCACCCTCAGGGGAAAACCATTCAGTCTTTCACCATTAAGTATGACATAGCTGTTGTTTTTTGATAAATACTCTTGATAAAGTTAAGGAAGTTTCCTTCTATTTGTAGATTTCTGAAGGTTTTTATCATAAAACTGTACTATACTTTGGTAAATGCTTTTTCTACATCAATTGACATAAGTAGCATACATATTTTTGAATCATGTTTATTTGTCCAGGTTGATATTCCTTGTCCTTTAATTGACAAGTGTTCACAATTTATATTTAAGATAACTGTAATATATATGTCAAGGCCTAGGTGTTCTACTTTATAATTTATTTTCTGCTTGTTCATTCTCTTTTTATTTCCTCTGCTCTTTTTTCTTACCTTCCTGTGAGTTACTGAAATAGTTTTAGGATTACATAATAATTTCTTTATATTGTTTTCTAGTACATCTCTATATTATTTTCTTACTGTCTTTACCTTATTATCGTTATTCATTTGTAACTGACCACAGTCAACTGATATTGATGTTTTACCACTTTAAATGAAGTGTAGACACCTTATTTTCATGTAGGTCCCTTTACCCACCTTGTTTTTAAAAATCGAATTGCACCGAGTAACACATCTAATACACAGCATGCTTCTACAGGCAGCGTTATAATTTTTGCGAAAACACTGAATATGATTTTGAAAACTTCTGAGATGATGCGTAACCTGTTATGTCTTTTTACATTTTGCCATTCTCTTATTCTTTTCTTTCTGAAGTTCCAGTCATTCTTCTGATATCATTTGGTTTCTGTTAATAGGACTTTTCACATTTTTAAGAGGAGTTTTGGTAAAAAACAAATTGTGTCAGTTTTCCTTCACATAACGATGCTTTTATTTCTCCCTTTTTGAATGCTATTTTTGCTGGACATAGAATTTGCAGTTAACAGTTCTTTTCTTTCAGGACATAAAAAAGGTTGGGACACTTCCTTGTGTCCTACACGGTTTCCGATTGGGGGCAGGCTTTCAAAAATTTTTGTCTTCTGTTTTCAGAAGTTTTTATATGATATGTTTCAGTATGAATTTATTTGGGTTTATCTTATTTAGGATTTACTCAGCTACTTGATTCTGTAGATTTCTGTCTCTATCAAAATTAAGATGTTTTCAGATATCAATTTATTGACTGTTTTTCCAGTCCCACTATTTCTTTCTACTTTCCATCTGGGTCTCTGATGATACATATACTCAGTATTGTGATGCTGTCTGACAGGTCCCTGAGGCTGTTCTCTGTTGTTTTGTTTTGTATCTATTTTTTTCTTTTGTTCAGATTAGAATCAGTAAGTCCTACTGATTTGTCCTCAAGTGTACTGATTCTATCTTCTGTCTTCTCCCCTTTACTATTAAGTTTACCCAGTAAACTTTTATTTCAGCTGTATTTTTTAATTCTATAATTTCCAATTGGTTCATTCTTATAACTTTTGTTTTGCTGAGATTTTCAAGATTTGCATTTGGTTCAAAGGAATTCCTGTTAATAATTGCCCGCCAGTACCACCTCACTCAGTCTCATTTCAGCTGGTTCAGTATGGAGGTTTAATTCACCACTGGGCCCTGCTGACACTGGAAGTAGGGGGAAATTGGAGTACTAGTTAGCCTAGATGCGACACTTTGTCAGTGTGGTTGATTTGAGTGGCAGCAGAGGCTCAGCTTCCTGCTGGTCTCCAGTGACAGCAGGGTGGGGAGGGTGACACTAGCCTACCTCACCCTGCCTCAGTCAATGTCACTGTTGCTGCATGAGTTTGAGGAGTTTGAGGCTAAGCTTGTCTCTGGCACCACCAGACATCACCTTGGCAAAGGAATGTAGAACAGTCTGCTTTTGTCAGACGGGAAATGGAAGAACAACTTCTTAGTTGGTCTGTTGATATCACCTGAAAGAAATATCAGAATGCTACCTTCTTTCACCAGGTGAAGAGAGATTTGCCTCCCCACCTGGCCCCCCGGACACCATCAGGCAAGGGAGTCAGAGTGCTGCTGCTGCCTTCCACTCCGTGGCAGTGAAGTGGATCATCAGCTCCACACTGGACTCCACTAACCTATGGTGTTTGGGGGGTTTTTCCATTGGTGTGTGGCTGGTGTCAGGTGGGCATTTCTTGCCAGGCCATTCTTTTCCATGTTCTTTGGTTAAAAGAGTTAGGATTTTGTTGGGTTTGGTTTTGGTTTTTTCTGTACCTATTGGTGGTTTCTGGTTGGAGGCTTCTGCAGCATTCTCCCCAGGGCAGATGAGAAGAATAGGAAACCCAGGGAATGTACCACTGTGTCATTCCCCAGGGAGTCTGGCTTGCTTAATACACTTTTCCAACATTTCCCATGCTCGTTTGTTGTTTTATGTGCAGGGTTTCAGTTAGAACACAAAGGATGTGATAGTAATGAGGCTTCTCCAGCTGGGCTGAAAACAGATGTATTTTTGTCTTAAAATCATAAGAGCAAGAATTTTTTAAAATACTTGAATAGGTTGGTGAGAATTCTGGGGAGAATTAACACACCACTGGGAAAGAAACATTTCACAACACTGCAAGAAAAAGTCATTCCACAGCAGTGACAACTCCAGCTCACATAATCTACAACTGACTTACTCATTTGTTCTCGCCTAGTGTCAGAAATATCATTTGCCTCCGTGATAAACAAAATTACCAACTAAAGTAGAGTGTTTCTATAAAGTTTGTTTTGTCTTAGAGTATCCAATCAAAATTTTCTACAGTGTCTTTAATCAGTTTCTTTTTCCTCCTGAAATACTCTGATATTATGGTTGATGTTTTTCTTTTTTTTTTTTTTTTTTTTTTTGAGACGGAGTCTCGCTCTGTAGCCCAGGCTGGAGTGCAGTGGCCGGATCTCAGCTCACTGCAAGCTCCGCCTCGCGGGTTCACGCCATTCTCCGGCCTCAGCCTCCCGAGTAGCTGGGACTACAGGCGCCCGCCACCACGCCCGGCTATTTTTTGTATTTCTTAGTAGAGACAGGGTTTCACCGTGTTAGCCAGGATGGTCTCGATCTCCTGACCTCGTGATCCGCCCATCTCGGCCTCCCAAAGTGCTGGGATTACAGGCTTGAGCCACCGCGCCCGGCCAATGTTTTTCTTTA